TGCTTACTAGGTTTATCTCTGACCATTGAGCTTTTTGCCTTTGATCTGAAATTGCCACAGTTTTGAGAAGTGATACTTAATATTTAATAATCACTGAGACTGAAGACACTTCTTCAGCAAAGAAACATTGCCTTCCTCTTTCATATATTTTCATGTTGGGTGTGTTTGAAGCGAATTGGAAGTCTAAGGAAAAAGAGTAGAACTCTTCCATCAGAATTGCAGTAGAGGAAAGGAGAGGTGGAGTTTGAGAATATGGTGGAATTATCAGGTGAGATTAGGGAAAAGGTTATCAGTAAATCTGAAGGCTGTGTTTTCTAGTTGTTGTTTTTCTGTTTTCAACTAAGTCTCTGGTTTAGCCTTGTGAGGAGAAAGCCATTTTAAATTCTAGATAAGAGGAATATCTAGAATTTATCTTATCTAGAGAAAATTCTAGAGGAGCCCATCACTTTCATGTCTGTGTCATAATTTAGCTTTGTGTTAACAGTGTTTTCAAAAGCCATCTTTTGGATATTTTCAATAAAGGAACTGGGAATATTTTTTTTTATCAAAGGACCCTGGTCCATGGGGGAAAATTAATCTATGTTACAGTCAAGTGAAAATAAAAGATAATTCCTTTTTTCTAAGCAGAAATGTAAAATCAAGGAACTTGCTTTTGAAATTAAGAACAGAGACCATTACACTGGTGAATGTATTATGTTTAGTTGAGAAGTCCCTACACAAATTTTGAGAGTGAGAGAAGCCTACAAAAACCAAATTCAGGTAACAGGTTGGCGGGGTAGGGTTGGGGGGGTGTCCATTTGGTTTCTAGTGAGCTGCTGAGCTGAACGCTTAGTCAACTCGAAAACAATGGATGGAGCCCAGCCATGGCACTATCTCCTCATGCTAGGTCTAGAGTGGCCATCGGGGGCCAGCGGTCTCTTGCCCTGTTTATCTCTGGATGAGATCCCATGGTAATTAATTGGGTCATTTATAATTAAAAGTTTTATTTACAAATAAACTGCTAATAGGAGAAAATCCTAAAGGTAGTTTGACCCAGACTCAGGAAAATGTGTCATGGGAAGAGGGGCTGTACTCTGAGACTGAGTGGGCAAAGCCACCCATCTCTCATGACATGGCAGAAGGCCTGAACTTCTCCAACGCTCTGGCATGGACTTATGAGCTGCACACTGTGTTCTTCCACTAAAACTCGTGGCCCTTTCCCCAAATTATAGCCTAAAATAATTCATCAATCTATTAGCTTTCGGGCTATTTTGGCCATAATTTTTTTTAAGGCTGTAGTGCCTGCCAGTACTTGCCTGCTGATGAGTACTAGCAAATGCCTACATGAAACAATAAATACTTAAGTGTTCAAATTGGAATTATGTGTAATCTGACAGGATTTTGTTGTTGTTGTGGCTCCTAATTGTGATCTTTTGCTATCAGATACATCGAAAGTAATGAATTTCTGCAAGTAAGATGACCCTTAGTTGTCTTGATGGATCTAAGTATACTGAAGTGTAATGGTTTTCAGTAGAGGGAGCTTGACTTCTGGGCTCCATGCTTCCTGAACAACTTGGAGCCGCGCCGCTCAGGGCACAGCTAAGATCTGGAGTTCAGGGAGGCAGGCCTGGGCCCAGCGTTTAGAACAATCTAACAACCCAGAGTTTAAAAATGAAACGGGTAGTGGTTTGAAAATTAATCCTCATCACTGAAGTTACTCAAGTCAAGGCCAGGTGGCCCCCTGCTGGAAGCATCTTGGAAGGGATTCCAGCATTTCCATCCTTGCAAGAGAGATGACGCACACACAGCCTCTAAGAAGCAGTATTGACACCTGCGGTGATTTGTCAGGAGCGCAAAGCTTGTTGCGCCCCTTTTGATAGCCAGCAGATAGTCCCCTCGGTCCCTGAACACGTGCTGCCCCTCCAGAGTCAGTCGGGCCTGCCGATTCAGTCAGCACAGTTTTTAGTTGCTCCTACAAGTCAGGCATGGTGCCAGGCATCCAGCCAAAAGCAGGCTTACTCTCAAGGGAGCGGACCCTGCCTTTAGGGAGCATCAAAGCCATCTGGAAAGCTTGTTAAAGGCCAATGACTGGTTCCCATCTTCAATTTCTGATTCATCAGATCTGGGTGGGGCCTGAGTCCGTTGCTAACAAGATCCAGGTGCAGGACCACATGGCCATGAGTAGCACTGGTTTAGGGCAGTGGTTCTCAACCGGAAGTGATTGCCTGCTGTCTGCATGTCCCTCCTGACATTTGGCAATATCAGTGACATTTTTGTTTGTCACCACTGAGGGGAATGGTGGGGGTGGTGCTACTGGTCTCTGATGAGCATAAGCTGGGGATACTGCTAAGCATCCCATGATGCATAGGGCGCCCCCCCCCCCAAAAAAAAATAAGCAGCCCACCTGTGATTAGTGCCGAGATGGAGAGACCCTCGGCTCGGGGATGACAGAAAAGGAAGTGCTCCTGATAAACTCTGAAAAGCAAGTGCTTGTGGTAGACTGTGATCAGGGCAGTTGAGAGTGCCACAGTGGGCCTGACCTGATCTATGGGGGCAGTCAGGGACACGGGGAGGTGAACGGGGCTCACCTGCTCACAGGGCGGTCAGCTGTGCATGTGGCAGGGGAGCTTGCTGTTTTAACTGTGGAAGGAAACAAGTGAATTGCAGAGAGACCTGCCTGCGATGGCGGGGTTGGCATTTCACAGCATAAGTGACATTTAATAGCTTTATTGATTGCATGGGATTGCGTGTGATTCCGCTGTTCTGTCCCAGGGGAACTCAGTACGCACAGCCAGGTGAGCACCTGCAGGTGGGCAGTGGTGGTGGGCCTGGAGTGAGTGTACACTGGGAGATGCTGCAGAGGGCCCGAGGTGGCCACTTCAGCAAGGCCCTTAAAGGCACTGTCGGAAGAGGAACCATTATCCTGAAGGTGAAAGGAAGAATCGGAAGGCATAAAACAAGAGTGTTCATTGTGTTTTATGAGACGGTGGGATCTCAGTTAGCGAGGCTTTCCTGTGATCAGTTGGCCTTGTGAAAAGCCTTAAAGTGCCTCAGCTATAATAGCCAAGTCAACTTTTTATATAATCGTTATTCCGTTTATTTGTACTTTAAATCTGGAAGTTTGAAACACAGAGATTATCTCCTCAAAAAGCTGAAAGGGCCAGACACTGCTGCCACTGGAACCTGTGTGTGAGTGAGGAGGCTGTCCTAGCAGCCCAGCCGTATAGCTGGTCCTGCAAGCTGCAGGTGTTGGGCACATCAGGAGTTGGTCCTGCTCATGGTTCATGAAGAGCGCCTCCCACCCCCAGGCCAGACCGCACTGGGTCTTTTCAGGACAGGAAGGCCTTCTATCCTGGGTCATTGCTGATTCTGTCTCAATTATTCACAAGACTTTTTCTATCCCTCCGTGCAGGGTCTGCAGGACACACCCAAACACTTGCTAGTTTCCCCAGCAGGCAGTTTAATGAGACTCATGGTGTATTTTTTACACTCCCCAGTTGTCTGGCACATTTTATGACACGATGGCTGATCAGCCACCCCCTTGACTACTGCATCAAAGCCCCGTTGGAAATTCTATCTCCCTCTAAGCTGACCAGGTTTGGCTGACCCAAGTGCCACAAATGTTATTTAAATGATTTCTGTAGTCCCAACATTATACCAAGTGATTTTTAATATGTTTGGTTTTTAACATGGTTTTTAATATACACACAGTTATGATAATGTAAAGAGTACTGAAAGTTATGTGATGAAAAGTAAGACTTCCTCCCTCCTCTACCCCAATTTTTCATTTTAGAACTTCTCAGAAACTAGTCAATTTCTTGTATGTTGTCATAAAGATATATTTTGCATTTGCAAGCATTCTTTATGAGGTTTTCACACAAATGGCCATGTGTTCCTCTGTAATTTTTTCCTTTTGATTCTATCCTGGGGTAGGTAACGTTGCCCCCCACTGTATAGGTGAGTTCCTTGAGACCGTGAGAGTCACTTGCTCAGTGTCACGCAGTGAGTGGCAGAGCCGGCATTCAGACCAGGAGCTCCAGTTATAAGTGGAATTGCACCGAGTAACCCCAGGCGAGCTAACAATTAGATTGTCCAAGAAGGTTTGCTTTTGTCCCGCTTTATACCGATGTCTTCTTTATACATTGCCTTATTCATTTAGATGACAAGTGAGGGCTTCACAAGGGAGGGGAGTATCCATGGAGCTTCCCTGCTTCCCTAGCAGTTTAGTGCTGGCCCCCAAATTGCACACACCACTGTCCAGACAGTGTACAGCCAGACCCTGACTCCGGAAGGCCACTTAGGGACCAGGAGTAGTTACTCGAGCTGCCGCCCCCCCGAGACCTGGGGGTGTTTCGACTTCTTGTAGGTGCTCGAGCCCCCACGCAGATTGGAAGCCCAGCCTGATCCATGCCTTTACCTGCCCCAGGTGCTGGGTAGGCGCCAGCTCTGTCAGTAGCTGTGCACCCTTTGGTACAGGTTGGAGCTGTTCCACACAGGGGACAGAGTAGACCCAGCCTAAGTCACCTGGTGTCCAGAGGGCTCCAATTCCTATTCCAGGAGTAGTGGAGATTCTTAGAGCCTCAAGAGACATTTCCAGCAGCTCCTTCATGACAGCAGCAGTGACCATTGGGGTCATCTTGAAACTAGATGGATTGTTTGCAGTCTCAGTGGGAGTTCTCGGAAAACTCAACAGAATGGCCTAGTAGTTGATTGGCAGGTTGGGAAGAAGGTACCTGCTGCATGGGAACTCTGGCATGAGGCGTCTTTGTGGCCAGGACTTTATGACACTGCCTCCCAAAGGCTCTGGGCACCTTCTCAGGAGAGCCTTGAGAGGGGACAAATGTACCATTTAGAAAGTATTGTCTAATGCACACTCACCCACAGAGCAGTGCCGTCTGAAGGCCAAACCCTGTTTTTAAGTTATGGTTGTTTAAGGTATTTGCTTAGAATTTTAGTTCCTGATGCTAAAAAACTGAGCTGCATTCCATGACTTTTGCACTGATCTTTCTCTTAATTGGCAGGTACCAAGGAGGGAACGCATTCTTCCACCTTCTGGGTGCTGCTGAGTATCTTTCTGGGAGCAGTGGCCATGCTGTGCAAAGAGCAAGGGATCACCGTGCTGGTGAGTGCCACAGCGTGGCTGGGGCTTGCTTTTCTTGTGCATCCTTTTTCCTCCTATAAAAACATCTGGGGCTGGCCCTGCCTCTGTGGTGTCCTCCACGCCTGCATCCCATTGCTAGCCTGAGGTTATAGATCTTTCTGGACAAATTACTCGCTGTCACATTTCTGGCATTTCAGATGGAGAATTGACTGTCTTCCTTGACAGTCATGCACAACTGGTGAGAAATGGTGAATGAGAAGTTCTTAGGGAGCCGTGATGAGTCCTCTTGAGAGGCCCTATAGAAAAAGATCAAAGAATGGTTTGAGTTTTCTGGTTTGCTTGTACATATTTCGGCAGTCCTAGATCACTTAGGACTGACCCCATCAATGGTTTTGATCCAGGATCTGAAAGTGTAGTGGGTAGTTTAGAAATGAAGGAACAGAGCTCATGCCTGTAATCCCAGCACTTTGGGAGGCTTGAGGTGGGCTGATCACCTGAGGTTAAGAGTTTGAGACCAGCCTGACTGACATGGAGAAACCCCATCTCTACTAAAAATACAAAATTAGCTGGGCGTGGTAGCACCTGCCTGTAATCCCAGCTACTCGGGAGGCTGAGGCAAGAGAATCACTTGAACCCGGGAGGCGGATGTTGCAGTGAGCCGAGATCGCGCTGTTGCACTCCAGCCTGGGCAACAAGAGTGAAACTCCGTCTCAAAAAAAAAAAAAAGGAACAAGAGTTCTGCTGCCACTCAGAGCCTCACGTGCACACACATTCTGTCTCTCTCCTCACCATTCCCCACCACAGCGGTTACCTATGGTCATAGTTAATCACCACGCAAGTGCAACTTCAAGCAGTGCTGGAGCCAAAGTGTTCCATGGTCACAAGTGTTTGACCTGAAATTAGAAGATTACTAACTAGTCACATATTTAAAGGAGAATCTGCAAGGGTGCTACTGTTTCTAGTGGGACTTTGTTCTCAGAGGACTCTTTTTATGCCAGATGTGCCTGGTAATCACGTGTTTTAACTTCGAGCCTTGAAATTTTTCTCTGTGTAATAGGGTATATACTCTGTATTCTCTTGGGTACATCGTTTTCCTGAAGAGAACCTCTACTTCGGCTTCCACCGGCAGCATCAGGGAGTGAGGGAGAGGGCTCTCTTTCTGAAGCAGAAAGGCATCTACATTTTCATTCTGATCTGAGTAGATGCTAGGATTAAGTACCCAGGAAAGGAGAGGTGTTGAAATCTCTTTTTCTTTTTCTCTATTCTAGCCAGTTTGCTGCCTTACCTTCTTAGAAGAAAATATAGAAATTAAGATTGTGAACAGAGGTAGAGAAATGGAAAGATGTGGAACTTTTTCTTTTCTTTTTTTTTTTTTGAGACAGGATCTCACTCTGTCACCCAGGTAGGAGGGCAGTGGCACAATTATAGCTCAGGGCAGCCTCAACAAGCCTCCCATCTCAGCCTCCCAAGTAGCTGGTACTGTAATTGTGTGCCACCACCCCAGTTAATTTTATAAAATTTTTTGTGGAGATGGGGTCTCCCTGTGTTGGCCAGGCTGGTCTCAGACTCCTAGCCTTGGAATTACAGGCATGAGCCATCGTGCTTGGCCAAGGAATAATCATATAGAAATACCTTGGAAAGGAAAGAACAATTAAAGCTATTTGGGGCTTGATACAAGTCAAGGCAAAAAAATATTGGTTTTATTAGGTTGTATCTATTAAGATTAAGCTAGCAAGGAGATGGTATAGGGAGAATTACCATGGAAAGATACTTGAATTTCTTGAGTTAATTTTTTTGCAGTTTGCGCTAAACCAATGTTTCTCAACTTTGGCACTATTAATGTTTTACAGCAGACAGTTCTTTCTTGTGGGGGCTGTTCTGTGCTTTGTGGGATGTTTAGCAGCATCCCTGGCCTCTACCTACTAGATGTCAATGGGACCCCTCAGTTGTGACAACCTAAAATGTCTCCAGATAGTGCCAGACGTCCCCTGGGGGTCAAAATAATCCCTGAGAACCGCTGGCTTTAGAACCTTTCCCTAATACAAAGTGTGGTTTGAGCTCCCAGTATCTGGGAACATGTTAGGAATTGAGGATCCCAGGCCCACCCCCTCCACAGGCCTGCCGAGTTGGAATTTGCATCCACAAGGCCCTCAGGCGGCTCCTCAGTGCAGTATTTTATTTTATTTTTATTATTTTTATTTTTATTCAAGTTGGGGTTTCTCTCTTGTTGCTCTGGCTGGAGTGCCATGGCATGATCTCAGCTCACTGCAACCTCTGCCTCCCAGGTTCAAGTGATTCTCCAGCCTCTGCCTCCCAAGTAGCTGGGATTGCAGGTGCGTGCCACCACGCCTGGCTAATTTTTGTATTTTTAGTAGAGACGGGATTTCCGCATGTTGGCCAGGCTGGTCTCGAACTCCTGACCTCTGGTGATCCACTCATCTCAGCCTCCCAAAGTGCAGGGATTACAGCCATGAACTACCACACCCGGCCTCCTCTGTGCAGTATTTCAGGAGCAGGAGATAATTCAGTTGAATTTATATGAGTAAAGATACGGTGAAATGTACCTATTTTCAAAAATTGTATTCAAATGGGGCTATTTTGATGATGCATTTAAAAGGAAGGGGTCCAGTCTTGTGCTTGGCTAAGGCCTCTCCACCACATGACCCTGCCACCCCTTGGTGACTGTCTGCAGCTCACAGGAAAACTGAGAAGACAGCGGCTGCTACGTAGGGAACATCTGCCTTCTAGAAAGTGGTTTTCAACCAGGCAGAAACGGTCTTCTGTGACCCACTAAGATCATGTCTCATATGGACAAATAAAATCAGGGTTCTTTGAACTGATTAACCCAGCACTGGCCCATGTATTGGATAATTAGTGGCTCCCAGCATTTCTGGGAGAGGGTTAAGTAGGGATGTCATCCTTGCTCTGAAAACCACAAATTACCACTGACTTCTGATGATGTGTGATCTCCTTTGCCACAAAGAAGATCATATTAAAAAGACCCAAGCCATTTAAGGGCAGCTTTAACTGTATCCACCGAGTATGTGCAGACCCCTTGATCCAGATTGGGTGGGGAGTTCTGTAGATGACATTGCCTGCAGCAGTGACATTTGTAGAACGTACATTGCAGGAGAGAGAATAGAATCCAAGGCACAGCTCTCCTTTCACCTGAACTACAGGTTTAATTTTACCTGCTAGATAGTAACTATTGTGGTACTAGTGGAAACTGTTAACACAGGTGGACTGCTAATTGAAGTTATTTGTTGTGCATCTCATGGGTCATGGGCAGAGCTGTAAACTGATAGAGGTGGCCATCCTTCCTACCATGGCCCCGCCTGACAAAGGCCTGCTCTTATCAATGTGTGATTTCCAAAGTCACCCTGGGCAGCTCCATTCCAGCCAGCTGGAAGGGGAAACCAAGTGGGAATGTGTGCCCACCTTTTACAACCAAACCTCCGAAATGGTACATGCCACTTCTCCCACATTCCATAAGGCTAGAACTCAGCCCAATGACCGAACTTAAATGCATGGGGGGCTGGGAGATGTCACCGTGTTGTAACCCAGCGAAAAAACTACTTTACAACCAGAATTCTGCACAAGAGATCTCCAGAGCTCATCAGAAATTATCATGTGTATTCTAAAGATGCCAAAGTCCACCGGACATGAGGTTCACTTATGTGGTTTTCGAGGTTGGTGGCTGCCTTTATCTTCCAGCATGATTACTGCCCAGAAAGCCACTCTGTTGTATGAACTAAAGGACTGTTTTATAGTGACCAAAAAAAGGGGGAGGAGTGGAAGAGGAATCTCTTGAGGCTTTTCCTAGGAATCCCAAATTTCCAGCTATCCTGAATCTTGTAGAACTCTTATACACAGACTGTGAAATCATTTCTTTCAGGGGCTTATTAAATAATAAATTTGATTTATTGCCTTGAGTTAATTTCATAGAAACATAGGGTTTTTTTTTTTTAAAGCGCTGCAGAGGTCTTCCGTGATTCTCTCGTCTGTGCGCTCCTTGTCTAGATTGAGTAATGAAATTGTGAAGTATAATTGCTGCGTAACAGAGCCAGGCTGTCCCAGGGCTGATTGTCTTGCTTTGCTCTCTTAGGGTTTGAATGCGGTATTTGACATCTTGGTGATAGGCAAATTCAATGTTCTGGAAATTGTCCAGAAGGTACTACATAAGGACAAGTCATTAGAGGTGAGTCTGTACTTTTATCTCCAGCCCAGACATGGAAAATGTCAAGTATCAGCAGATTTAAAATGCCATTTTCAAATATTCCTTGTGATTTTGAATTCTACAATAACCAGCCTTTTAAAAAAGCACAGTGTTGAAGTAGTTCAGGCAGAATTGCTGCACATTCGTACCTGGCTCAGCCACACTTTTATTTGAAAATCAGCCACCTCTGGGGCTTTGCGGTGTCCTTGCAGAATCTCGGCATGCTCAGGAATGGGGGCCTCCTCTTCAGAATGACCCTGCTCACCTCCAGCGGGGCCGGGATGCTCTATGTGCGCTGGAGGATCATGGGCACTGGCCCGCCCGCCTTCACCGAGGTGGACAACCCGGCCTCCTTTGCTGACAGCGTGCTGGTGAGGGTGAGTTCTCAGCCTGCTGCCCTCCAGACTGTGTTCTTCACCCACCAGATTCCCAGATCCCTCACCCATCCTGCTTGTCTCACTCCTCTCCAGGCCAAGGAAATCCCCAGCGCAGCCACCTCCATGTTTGTTTGCAATCGCTAAGGATGTTCTGGGGTGAAAGGTCTTCCTGAGGGAGGTGAAAGGGCGGGGCATTTCTGTTCTAATGAGGAGGGCGATTCCTTCTCACATCAGGGTCCTTGCAAGTCATGTGAAAGGGCGCCCTAACCCTGTGGCTGGGCTAAGACTAAATCTAACCATCTTGGTGGTATCTTGAGAAGACTGGTGGTGTCAAGACTATTTTTTTAGATTTGCCTTTTTCCTAAAGGCAAGGGTATCAAGCCACCAATTCTCAGCTGTGCATTTTATAGAGACCCAAATCAAGAGAACAACCATTTAACCCGATGTGTAAGACCCTGACCAAATACTTGGGTTATTGGACACATAGGTGACCCTGGGGCCTCAGATTTCAGAGGTCACGGGCTTCAGGCAGCAAATAGGTCATAGCTTGGCCAGAAATATTATGAATGTATTGCATAGTCTGGCGGCTTTGCGATATTTTTATATACCAAAATCTGAAAGCATTTAATAAATTATGGACTACAGTCGCATACCCAGCAACATTTTATTTGATGCAACTGCTTTCGTTGAACAGAAGCATATGAGTGCCTCAAGTGAAGTTAGTGCATATATATATATATATGTTTTTTAAGTTCAATATCAAATAAATGTTTGTTTTCCTTTTGACTGACAGGCCATAAACTATAATTACTACTATTCATTGAATGCCTGGCTGCTGCTGTGTCCCTGGTGGCTGTGTTTTGATTGGTCAATGGGCTGCATCCCCCTCATTAAGTCGGTCAGCGACTGGAGGGTAATTGCACTTGCAGCGCTCTGGTTCTGCCTAATTGGCCTAATATGCCAAGCCCTGTGCTCTGAAGATGGCCACAAGAGAAGGTAAGAGGCAATGCTGAATTTTAACTTCCACGCTGGTTGAATCAGAGGTGTTTTGTGAAATCCTGCACTGATCATTTTAATGGTTTTGTGGAAGTCATGTCTAAGAACATTTGTTTCAAATGCATATTTATGGCTAGGATGAGTTCCATCCATTCGGAATCCATGGCCGGCTTCCGCGGGTGGGGAGCGAGGCTGGAAGAGGGGCTGCGGATGACTGCTTCATCCTCCCTCCCCCTTTCTCCGGGAAGTAGCATTTTGCGATCCTTTTCGCTGTAGGTGGTAAAGAGTAATTTATGGTCAGAACAGAGAGTGTAATTGATGTGTGTTGTGCCCATTATTGCACAATTCTTCCTCAAAACACCCCAGTGAACGTGACCGTGATTCCTTCTGTTGTTGCTGGATACAAAATAAGCCACTGCCCCAAAGAGACTGTTCTTTCTTGATGAAAAAAAAAAAAGTTATTGAGAAAATAATTGGGGAAAACAAATGTGTTTCATGAAAAAGAAAACTGTTTAAGATGATTTCCGTTAAGCCTAAGTGTTTATGGAATTAGATTAGTAATTTCTCAAAATAAATTAAGTTTTAGGTTTACCTGTGTCTTTAAATTGGTTGGTAATTCTAAAGAGCCACAAACTTTGGTCCCAGTTCCCTTATCCACGGGAAATGGGATTTTTTAAAGAAATATTGTAGATAAAGGGCCCACCAAGGAGCCACCAACATTGACCCTGAGTCTTAATTCATCCTCTTGCATCATAAGGGACATTGGGAATGATCAGTTGGTTTTAGAAGTGTTTCAATGCTCAGCTTCGTATCTCCCTGACTGAAATTTACAGTGATGTAGCAACCAAGAAATGGTGTTTGTTTATTTCAGATTTCGTAAACTTTAAACTACTTAAGTGTTGTTGTTCTTGTTAAGTTTTGGAGGAAAAATTTTTTTCCCCCGTGAAAATAGATTGGGACAGTTTTTTAGTTAATTGAGACCAGTATCCACTGAACTATTTAGTACCTAAGCAGTTTGAGGCATAGTAAGGAGTACGTGGATTAATAAGGCCTCAGAAGTGTGATCACTTTAACTTTCTCCATACAAATTGTATGGCCTTTAAGTTTTGCACTTAGGCTCGCTGTGAAGTGCCTGAGGAATATTTTTATGCCTTATCCCCGTGCTACCAAGCGAAACTCTCGCTACTGATGATATCCTTTGGCTGACAGCAATACCTTTTCTCAGTTGATGGTATAAAAAAGAAAAGAAAAGGTCTTTAGCATTAATTTAATTTGGACAGCTAGTAATTTAATAATTTCTCAAAATAAATTAAGTTTTAAGTTTACCTGTGTCCTAAATCAGGTGGTAATTCTAAAGAGCCACAGACTTTATCCACAGGAAATGTTTTTCTTGAGAAGTCTGGAAATAGTCATTTCTTTCAATACTTTTCATCGTCCAGGATCCTTACTCTGGGCCTGGGATTTCTCGTTATCCCATTTCTCCCCGCGAGTAACCTGTTCTTCCGAGTGGGCTTCGTGGTCGCGGAGCGAGTCCTCTACCTCCCCAGCGTCGGGTACTGTGTGCTGCTGACTTTTGGATTTGCAGCCCTGAGCAAACACACCAAGAAAAAGGTATCAACCAAGAATGGTGCCGAGGGATGCAGGAAACGACCGACGCATCTCACCGGTGGTATTTACCGTGTCTCTCTGTTCCTAAGAAACTCATCGCAGCTGTCGTGCTGGGGATCGTACTCATCAACATGCTGAGATGCGTGGTGCGCAGCGGCCAGTGGCGGAGTGAGGAACAGCTTTTCAGAAGCGCCCTGTCCGTGTGTCCCCTCAACGCTAAGGTACCTACCTGCCAGATTTCTTTCAAAGAGACCTTACTTGGGAATGTGTTAAGTTCTTCGGCCGAACAAGAACATTTCCTATCGTACGGTATTTAGTGTAAGACCATGACCGAGTACTTGGCTTTTTCTTTGTTGTGTGTGTGTTTTTTAAATTATTTTGGTAAGATTCATTAAAATTCCACTCAACCAAAATTGAAAAGAAATCATTTAAAAGCAGACAATATCAGTGAAACAGTTGACTCTAATGAGATCTTACTCATCTTCCAGGTGATCTTTTTGCCCTTTGAAGTAGCTTCAGGGAAGGTGACATTGTGTATTCAGACTGAGCATGGACACAGTACAGATTCTGACGTCTAAGTGCACTTTTCAAAGCCCACTCTCTAGCGATTGCATTAACTAGCCTCCTCCAAGCTGTAATTTAAAGGGGTAGTAATACCTACAAATGGGCAATAATTTGCTTCAGGAAGTTTAAATTATGCTATGTGCTGCTCAATAGTACACATTTATGTCACCTTTGAGTCCCCTGCTTGTGATTTTTTTGGGTCAGATTAGGTAAACATAAATGTACACACAGTCATGTGCCATATTAACAATGTTTCAGCCAGCAAACCACATACAGCATATATACGACCGTGGTCCCATAAAATTATATCTTGTTTTGAGGCTGGGTCTCACTCTGTCACCCAGGCTGGAGTGCAGTCATGCAGTCTTGGCTCACTGCTGCCTCCACCTTCCAGGTTCAAGGGATTCTCCTGCCTCAGCCTCTTGAGTAGCTGGGATTACAGGTGCCCGCCACCACACCCAGCTAATTTTTGTATTTTTAGTGGAGATAGGGTTTCACCATGTTGGTCAGACTGGTCTCGAACTCCTGACCTCAAATGATCCGTCCGCTTCAGCCTCTCAGATGCTGGGATTACAGGTGTGAGCGACTGCACCCGGCCAGTATTTTTACTGCCTCTTTTCTGTGTCCTTACCGTTGTGTTACGATTGTCTCAAGTATTCAGTACAGTCACACGCTGCATAGGTTTCTGGCCTAGGAGCAACAGGCCGGCCCACACATAGTCCAGGTGTGTAGCAGGATCTACCATCTAGGGTTGTGTAGGTACACTCTGTGATGTTCAAACAATGACAAAATCACCCAACAATGCATTTCTCGGAACATATCCCTGTTGTCATTAAGTAATGCGTGATTGTACTCTAAAATTGGCAGTGTATTTGGTTGAAGCAGCCTGGTAGGAATTTTTTCATTTGTATTCTTGATGAATACAAGCCCTTCGCTTGACTAGCTGTGCCTCTTTGGGCAAAACTAAACTTTTAAAAACTTTCAGTGCGTTTTTCTATCAAAAGTGGATAATACCCATCTGCTGGGTTTGTTGTTAGGGCTGAATGAACTAAAATGCCCCCACACAGTGGCCAGCACATAGTAGGTGCTCAGAAAGTGTCAGCTTTTTTAGGCTCATTTCAGCCTGGGTTTTGCATTATGTTGGAAGAGAATGCTGTTTGCTCAAAATGGGGGCCACAGGTTTGGTTAGGTTAGAAGAATTCTCTGTTAATATAGATTATTATCATTAAATAATGATTCATTCTCTCTTAGGTCCTCAGAATTAGAGCTGCCTAGGATGCTTATATGTAATCCTCCTGAATGGAGAGGGGATCTGGATCGCTGTCTCATTTCTGTGTTCCATATTTAAGGGAAGGCAATAATTTCAGACAAAGTTATGTAAACAAAACTAATGAATAGTTGACATCTTATTATGAACTTTAAGTGAAGAATAATATATAAAAGATGCTGGCTACTTATCTTTTCTTGGATTAAAACCTCTTGTTCATATTTTACAGTTAAGAGATTTAGATAAAATAGTGAATTACTTTAAGCTTTTCTCTTTAATTTGATTTGCTGACTTATCAATTTATTTTATGCAACCAAAAATAAATTGCCTGTGATTTAATTTCATAAATGTTAATAGATTTTCTTTATTTTTACTTTGCTGTTTGAATAGCAGTAATTACCCCTTCTATTTGTGTAGTTCTTCACCACAAGGAGTTCAGATTTCTTTATAGAGGCGCTGTAATTAATCTCTATTATCCTCTCACCAAGGTTTTTAGAGAGGGTATTATTTTCTCTATGTTCCCAGATGGGAGGTACTGAGGCATAGCAAGATTAAACTGACATTATCTAGGCTAGTAATTTAGGTGGCTAGAGAGAGACCTGGTATGGTGATGTGCCCAGGTGCCTTTAGTAAATAAGGAGGATGGAACATAGGTGACGTCTGAACCCAAAAACCTGCCCAAGAAGTGATTTCATATGTTATAGACTAGAAAACACGGGGCATACCCTTGTGGGCATGCACAGAAGTATTAGGAGAAAGAGAATGAGAGGGAGTGAGAGTGTGTGTTTGTGAGAGAAAGAGAGAGAGAGAGAGAGTGGGGATGGGTTCTTTTCTTAATTTAAGGAATACAGGAATACATATAAGACCTCATCTTCAAAATGGACTCAGTGGTAATAGTCCTTTCTTAAGAACATTTTTCAATGATACCATTCAATATAAGCAAGATAGAGGGTTTTATTTTTTTGTTTCTTTATATATGTATGTTTTATATATATATATATATATATATATATATATATATATTTTTTTTTTTTTTTTTGAGATGGAGCCTCGCTCTGTCACCCAGGCTGGAGTGCAGTGGCACGATCATGGCCTACTGCAACCTCTGCCTCCCAGGTTCAAGCAATTCTCCTGCCTCAACCTCCTGAGGAGCTGGTATTACAGGTACCCGCCACGACGTCCGGCTAATTTTTGTATTTTTGGTAAAGATGAGGTTTCACCATGTTGGTCAGGCTGATCTCGAACTCCTGACCTGAGGTGATCCACCCACCTCAGCCTCCCAAAGTGCTGAGATTACAGGCATGAGCTGCTGTGCCCAGCCCCTAATTTATTTTTAAACTTTCCACTGTAAGTTGAAGTATCATAAAAATATCTTTACTTCCTTTTTTTTTTTTTTGAAAAATCTAAGTTGATTTTAGGAAAGAGATCTCACATAGGACGTAGGAAGACACTGGTTTCTTTCAGTACCATTATTATAGGGGACACTTTTTCTAGACTGGTTTCATTTGATATTTGTTGCATATAAAGTAAGAAATTGGCAACTGGCTCTAGTTTAGGGCCAGACGTATGAGTTAAGACTCATCTTTTTTGAGAGATTGCAATATCAGTGTAGGTAGTGCTGGTGCCTGGTCTGTATGTAAATTATCCACAGTTCCTTGCATATGGTAGACATTCAATATTAGTTAATGAATTGAGCCAAATGGAAATTGAATTCACTGAGACTACTGTTGATGAGATACCAAGTATACTTACAGTCATTTATAGTTTTTAAGGCTTAAAAGTATGTTGCACTATCAACCCTGTGATGCAATTCTGTAATAAATTCTTTTAACAATGAAGCAGATCATTTACCACAATGAGGTATTTTCTTAAGGAGTAAGTGACCCAGGATGTTTAAGGATTTTTATGTTTTTAAAACATCTTAAGTTTAACCTCAGATATTGCCAGAGTATTTATAAAAAATTAGTTTAACCCTGGTAGTAAAGCTGCCTTTCATAACCGATACTCTTTTTTTTTTTTTTTTTTTTTCTTTTTTGAGACGGAGTTTCGCTCTTGTTACCCAGGCTGGAGTGCAATGGCACGATCTCGGCTCACTGCAACCTCCACCTCCTGGGTTCAGGCAATTCTCCTGCCTCAGCCTCCTGAGTAGCTGGGATTACAGGCACGCGCCACCATGCCCAGCTAATTTTTTGTATTTTTAGTAGAGACGGGGTTTCACCATGTTGACCAGGATGGTCTCGATCTCTTGACCTCGTGATCCACCCGCCTCGGCCTCCCAGAGTGCTGGGATTACAGGCTTGAGCCACCGCGCCCGGCCTAACCGATACTCTTTCTTCCTTACATTTACATGTTACTGGGTTGTGATGGTTGTTTCTGTCTTCGACTTCTCCTGTGCTAATTCATGGCCTCAGCAGGTGCATCACAAATGCTAGAGGGAAAGTTGAAGAACACACAGGCTTTTTCAATCTTTCAGATTTCAGGGAAACAAAAGTCACTCATTCTCTGAACATCGTTTTAAGTGACCTGGTTTTGAGATTTTTTGTTCTGTTTTGTTTTGCAATCTAGGCAGCTATTTTTTATTCAAAGAATTCCCTCCACCTAACCCACAGGATAAGGCTGGCCTCTGGGTAAACCTGTTTACCAGTTCTTAATGATGGTCTGCCTTCTAAGGCTGTATCAGATTTTTAACTAGCCCCTGTTCCAGAGTCCCGTGTCCTTCTCCCTTGATCTTCTGGTCTCTGGCATTCTGAGTGTCTAACAGAACACTGTCTATGCTGCAGAGGGCAGTTGAACTCTTTGTCTGGGCTTTTTATTGAGAAAACAGAATTTGCCTGGAACAAAGGAAAACAGCAGGAGCTTGGGGCAGAAGAGGGGGGGCATCGAGTTGATGTCTGAGTAGAAGCCGTATTTGTATTCTGAGGACCACAAGGACATCGCTGGCAGATTGGATTCTCCAGCCCTGGGTTCTTTTGTGCGTAGGAGAGGAGGTGAAGTCATACATCCAAGCTGAGTTGGGGGAAGCTCAAATTCTAATCATTTAGAGCACTTTTCTCGACATGCACTTCGGTGATAGCATTAACTGAGCCTCCTCCAAGCTACAATTTAAGGACGAAAATGCCTATGAATGGACAATAATTTGATGCAGAAAGTTCAAATTATACTGTGTGGTGCACAGTAGTACGCACATTTTCATCACCTGCGATTTTTCTGCTTGTGAGTCCTTTCATCAGAGTGGGTAAACATAAATCTCTATGCTTTTAAATTGACAGTTAAGAAAACCTGTTAATATGCACTGCTTCATACTCTTCCAGAAATCTGAGTCTCTTTGAGGAAGTGCTGTGACTGTAGGTTAAGATTGATAAGGCAGGATGTGGTTCTGTTTTCAGGGGTCATTTGGAAGCAGTGTTCAGACGTAGTGTTACTTGAATGTGTTTAAGCCATTTCTGTGTTTTGGGATTTTATTAGTCTTCTCAGACTGCCATAAGCGGGCGCGCACGCGCATACACACACACACACACACACACACACACACACGCACGCGCACACACACACACGCGGAGGTTGGGTGGCTTAGACCACAGATGTTTATTCTCTCACTGTTCTAAATGCTGGAAGTGTAAGATTAAGGTGTCAGCAGGGCTGTTTCTAGCGAGGCCTCTCTCCTTGGTTTACAGACAGCTTCTTCTCCCCATGTCCTCATGTGGCCTGTCTTCTGTGCTCACACATCTCTGGTGTCTGTGTCCAAATTTCCTCTTTCTGTAAAGACACTCAGACTGGATTGGGGTCTTATGGATTGGAGCCCAGCCGTGTGACCTCATTTGACCTTACTTACCTCTAAATACCCTAGCTCCAAATACCTTCACATTCTGGGGTGTCAGGGGTTTAATGTCAACTTTGGGGGACAATATCATATAACAAGAAACGTGATGTTACTTAGGGAAAAAGCCAGTGGTATGAATGAGTGGATCTAGAAAGTGCCTTGAGCGGTCACCCTCACCTTCCCCCAACACCGTAATAAATGCATGTGATCTAATGGGAAGAAGTACAGGCTTCAGAGCCTGGTTCCAATCCAGCTTCACAGCCCTCGATGAGACGCTGAATGACCCCGAAGCAGTTTAGCAACTCAGAAGAGACGGTCACAGCAGCCATGCCTCGAGCCACCATGAGGAGAGACCGTGCACACACAGCCCAAAACACCGTGCCCCACTGGTGGGTGCCACTCGAGGCATGCCGACTGCACACCATCTTACCATTTGCCATGACTGCTGTTAGTAGCACCCACACTACATGCTCCTGACCGAGTGGGTTTCTGTGGCATCATCTGCTCTGGGGTTACTACTCCCTTTATATTGTAAAGTCCCAAAAGGAGCTTTGGGTCATTAACAAATACTTTTTTTGTTTTCTGTTCTTTTCTTTTTTTTTTGAGACAGAGTCTTGCTCTGTTGCCCAGGCTGGAGTGTGGTGGCATGCTCTCAGTTCACTGCAACCTCCACCTCCTGGGTTCAAGCAAATCCCCTGCCTCAGCTTCCCGGTTAGCAGAGATTACGGGAATGCACTACCACACCAAACTAATGTTTGTATTTTTAGTAGAGATGGGGTTTTACTGTGTTGGGAAGGCAGGTCTCAAACTCCTGACCTCAGATGATCTGCCAACCTTGGCCTCTCAGAGTAGTAGGATTATAGGCATGAGCCACTGCCCCCAGCCAACAAATGCTTTTTATTGTAGTCCTCGTGGGCTTGTGCCGTCTTGCTGCCCTGGGCTTAGTTCAGGTCCCCACTTTTTTCTTTGTCATTTATTCTAAGCCCACATACAGTTGAGAAACTGCCATATATTGGCTTGCCTGATGCCCTCGTTCCAAGGTGACCTGAGAATTCCTAGCAGATTGGCAGCTGGGAGCCCCATTCCATCCAGCCTACTTCACCCCCTCTTCAGTCATTGAAAATCCTCTCCTCATTCTTTTTTAATGGAGGTGAAATTCCTATAACATAATATTATCCATTTTAGTATGTCAGAAAATTAAAAACAGAATTATATGATGCAACAATTCCATTTGAAGGCATATTCCCAAAAGGACTGAAAGCAGAGACTCAGAGGGATATTTGCACACCCATGTTCATAGCCGCATTACTCACAATAGCTAAAAAGCGGAAGCCACCCAGGTGTCCATCCAAGGACAAATGGACAAACAATGTGGTGTACCCATGCAAGGGAATAGTATTCAGCCATAAGAGAAAAGAAATTCTGACACAGGTGGCACAAATGGACAATTCTACTTACGTGAGGTACCTAGGAGTCAAATGCATAGAAAGAGAAAATGAATGGAGGTTGCCAGGGGTTCGGTGGAGGGGAGAATGGGTACAGAGTTTCTGTTTTGCAAAATGAAAAGAATTCTAGAAATGGGTGGTGACCTTGTACCACCATGTCAGCCTAGCCTATCCCCCTAAACAAGCCTGATCACTTGTCACTTCTCTTGAAAGCCATCACATCCATTCTGTCCTGAGCGTTGGGAACCTCGCATTTGTTCTTGACACACTTCCGTTTCTCCTAGCAGTTGGTCACCAGTTTCTATGCTTTTTGCTCCCTCACTGTTCTTCAAACCTGTCCAGGGGTTCACTACCACCCTAGTTCAGTCTGCTGTCCTCTTCTCCAGGACTGCAGCCACAGCCTCCCCAGAGCCCCTGACATCTGCTTCTCCCCACTCACATCTCTTTCCCTCCACAGGATTTGTTTCACATGAGCATAAACCTCATGATGACCTCTTCTAGCCTTCTGCCCCTAGCTTCCTGCTATGGGTTGAACTATGTCTCCCAAAAGATATGCTCAAATCCTCACCCCTGGGACCTGGGAGTGTAACCCTTTTTGGGAATGGGTTGTTGCAGGTGTAATTAGGACATCAGTTAAGTGAGGTCATACAGGAGGATGGTGGGCCCTTAATCCAGTGTCATTGGTGTCCTTGTAAGACAGGAGAAGAGACAGGGAGACAGACAAAGAGGAGAGATGGTCATGAAGACAGATGCAGAGGAGGGAGCGAGGCATCTGCAAACCAGAGACTGCGAGCCAGCTCCATGAGACAGGAGAGAGGCAGGAGCAGTCTCTCCCACAGCCTGCAGTGGGACCAGCCCTGTGGACACCGTCTCGGCCTCCAGGACTGTGAGAGAAGTGTGTTGTGTTAAGCCCTACAGTTTGTGGTGCTTTGCTGCTGCAGCCCTGCGGCACTCACACACTTACAGACCCCGCCCAACCTCTTGGCTCTGAGGACAAGAACTGATCCAAGCCTGCCCTGCCCAGGGTTCCCTGTGAGTGCAGCTGCTCCTCCCGGGCTCTCCAGCCTGCAGCCGTGCTCTCTGTACTTCAGCAACACCCTTGTTCAGACCCTGTGAAAGAATAATACCAGAGGCCAGGTGCGGTGGCTCACGCCTGCAATCCCAACACTTTGGGAGGCCAAGGTGGGCGGATCACCTGAGGTCGGGAGTTTGAGACCAGCCTGACCAACATGGAGAAACCCCCATCTCTACTAAAAATGCAAAATTAGTTGGGCATGGTGGTACATGCCTGTAATCCCAGGTACTTGAGAGGCTGAGGCAGGAGAATCGTTTGAACCTGGGAGGTGAGGATTGCAGCGAGCCAAGATCACGCCATTGCACTCCAGCCTGGGCAACAAGAGTGAAACTCCATCTCAAAAAAAAGAATAATACCAGAGGCAGGGTGGCTTCAGCAGCAGACACTGACTTCTCACAGTGCCAGTGGCTGGAAAGCCCACAGTCAAGGTGCAGGCAGGTTGATTGTCTGGTGGGAGCTTGCCTCCTGGTTCACAGACGGTCGTATTCTCACAGTGTCCTCACATGGCGAAAATGGGACATGGGAGCTCTCCAGGGCCTCTTTGATGAGGGCATTGATCCATTCATGGGGCTCCACCCTCATGACCCAATCACCTCCCAAAGGCCGTACTTCCCAACACCATCACATTAGGAGTGAGGATTTCAACATTTGAATTTTGGGAGTGCATTAACATTCTGTCTAGAACAGACACAGAGTAAAATGCTTGTGATGCTAGCTATAGAAGAAAGATGTCATACAAGAAAGGGCCACATTTGCTTAAATGGGTAGGGACAGAATCATGGTTTCTTCTCCTCGTGTTCATATGTGATTGGACTTTGTTATTTCCACTCTAGTGGAGCGTGTTGGTGAGGAGGATTTGAGGTTTTGCTGATAAAAACAAGCCAGGTGTGGTGGTGTGTACCTGTAGTCCCAGCTACTTGGGAGACCAAAGCAGGAGAATCACTGAATCCCAGGAGTTCAAGGCTGCAGTATGCTCTAATTGCACCTGGGAATAGCTCTACTGCACTCCAGCCTGGGCAACATAGCAAGACCCCATCTCTAAAAATCAAAAGTTAAATTTTAAAAAGCCCAGCTTTGTAGTTTTCTGGTTTTCTCTGGTGAGGTCTTTAGTTATTTCCTTTCTGTTGTGCTTTAGAGATGTACCATGCCTGTCTCCCTTTCTTCTGATCCTCTTATAGGGTTGGAGATTAAAGCACAAGCAACCCCTAACCCCTGTAGGGTTTTAGCTAAAGTTCTGGTGGGTGCTTTTTTCCCTCATCCCTTTACCTTTTGTCTTCAGTTAGAAGATATGATGGGGTCCAGGCTCTGAACAGGAAGTCTGTCTGCTAATGACCCAAATGTTTTCTTTTTGCAGGTTCACTACAACATTGGCAAAAACCTGGCTGATAAAGGCAACCAGACAGCCGCCATCAGATATTACCGGGAAGCTGTAAGGTATGGCGAATATGTCTTACAGAGAAATTAGGTACACAGATCATTTTCACTTTCTAGTATGAAACACCTGTTCCTTTAAGGACCCCAACTTTACAGTATCTTTGCCGATTCCTGAGACTTTAGCAAAAACATACTACTGAGCATTTAATGGTCAGCTTGGTTTTTATTTTAACTTCCAGATTAAATCCCAAGTATGTTCATGCCATGAATAATCTTGGAAATATCTTAAAAGAAAGGAATGAACTACAGGAAGCTGAGGAGCTGCTGTCTTTGGCTGTTCAAATACAGTAAGCATTGCTTTTATAATGATGCTAGTGACAAAGGAAGGAGCTCCTGCATTCTGGCATCTAAGCCTTTCTTGTTTATCCTTGTTGAAACTGCTCCTCTAGGCCAGACTTTGCTGCTGCGTGGATGAATCTAGGCATAGTGCAGAACAGCCTGAAACGGTTTGAAGCAGCTGAGCAAAGTTACCGGACGGCGATTAAACACAGAAGGAAATACCCAGATTGTTACTACAACCTCGGGCGTCTGGTAAGCTCGGGGCACCCTATGCCTGTGGAAGAGAGATGGGTTCTTTTTCTTATTTATGGTAAAATGACATAGTAGCATCCTCCTAGCCCAATCAGTTTTATAAAGTTCTTTCACATGTTTTCATCTCTTTTGAAGGTAGCTATTTGATTTCCTTGTGAGTAATTTTTTAAAGTTCTCATTAGAGAGAAGTACACCGTGAATTAGCCAACCTTAAGAGGTCACCCAGGCAACAGGTTAAACCAAGGAATAAATTAAAATCTTAAAATCTCTTCCACCCTGTAAAACAATGCTCCAATGGGTAACTTCCTGATAAACATCAGTCTCTGTTTTTAAAACAAGAATTTAATACAAACAGAGATTAAAGAAACAAATCCGTAGTATGACTTCGGAGCTCCCTTGTTCTCCTTCCTTAAGGGAGCAGAGCTCTTCATCTGCACCGAGGATTTCCTCCTAAAGAGACAGCTTTAGAGGGCACGGGATTTATTTGAAATTATTTGGATTATTTGAAAGGGCTTTGTCATTATTTGATGGAAATAGAAAATAATGTGTTCAGTAGTAGCTTTATATTTTTTGGTTATTGACAGGATGTTTATGAAGATCTGATTGCTCTTGATTTTCTTGACTAAAATAAAATGAGACACACACACACAGCAAAATTCTTTAAACATGAATGGTTGTATTCTCCCTATAAATCCCTATAAATTTGGTTTCTTGAAACCAAATATATATGTTCTTAATATATTTAGATGTATTCGATAAAAATTGTTAATTAAAAAAATTTTGTTCATTTTAACCAAACTAGAATACATGCATAGCAATGTGACTTTAAAATAAGTTTATATGTAGATTTCCAGATTTTATTCAGCTTAGCTTTACAGGTAGGAAAGCACCCTTATGTTCTAAAGAGATGCCTGCTTACCCTCATTTTAAAGGCCTGAAGCCTCTTGGTTTAAGGAGTTCTTATATTGTCAAAACTGGTAGTTCCCTTGGTTGCTTGTCGCGAGGTGATGGCTTCAAGGTTACTTGATGGAGCTGGAGCACTTGGTTATGCAGGCCCTGAGGGCTGGCAGTCCCAATGGCACGGCCGCGGTGCACGCCATGGCATCTGGAGGTGGTGTTTCTACTGATAACAGGCAGGTGACTGGCTCAGAGAGGGAGGTCATGATGGCTGCAAGGAAGGCACTGGACCCACACAATGTACTACTCCCAAAGGCAGCTTCAGGTACCAAGGAAGACCCTAACTTAGTCCCCTCAATCACCAAAAGAACAGTGGTATACGCATGAAGAGGACAACAGTGCCGTCATCTGGTTTGAGCTGCACAAAGGCAAGACCCAGCAGTGCCTGAGCTGCGGAACCCACTGCAAGCTGGTGCCCCACCAGCTGGCACACTGAGCGCCTGCACCAAGTCACTCAAAATGTGCTGTCAAGTTTCTTCTTTCCAAAAAAGACTAGCCCTTTGCATTGGCTCCCTCTCTCTCTGCCAAAAACAAAAAAACGACAACAAAAAAACTAGTAGTTCCCAAAATTGATATGCATCTAGACCATTCCACCCCATCTGACATTTAGGGAATCAAAGGCTCTATAGAGAATCTGTGTTTTTAAAATAACAATAACAAACTGGGCGCAGTGGCTCACATCTGTAATCCCATTACTTTGGGAGGCCGAGGCAGGCAGATCACTTGAGGTCAGGAGTTCGAGACCAGCCTGACCAACATGGTGAAACACCCTCTCTACTAAAAATACAAAAAATAGCCAGACATGGTGGTGCATGCCTGTAATCCCAGCCACTTGGGAGGCTGAGGCAGGAGAATCACTTGAACCTGGGAGGTGGAAGTTGCAGTAAGCCAAGATCATGGCACCACACTCCAGCCTGGGTGACAGAGTGAGACTCTGCCACAAAAAAATTAAGTAAAATAACAATAATGAATCACCCCAGTGATTCCGATACCCTGCAGGTCCTTGGCCCTGCACCTGGTAAGCAGCTCTGTCTGAACTTGGATGACGGAGTGATCACATCGGAGCAGAAGCCATGGTTTGTGGGGAGCAATCCTAAAAACACTGACTGCTTTAAATTTCTTGGAAAACCAGACTTTGGTTTTTACCATAATGTGAATGTCTTTGGTCTTATTGTGTTTGTTTCTAGACTGGGTAGCCATGATTTTATGAGCCTTGGAGATAGAATCTTATGAATGGAGAAAACAAGGTGGCAGGAATGTCTGGCTAACTAAGGATAAAATGTGACCTTTCCTCCTTGGGAGAAGTCCCTTTACGTGGACAAGTAATGCTTGTGTTATAAATATTAAAGTGAAGTGGTTGCATGTATTAGTCCGTTTTCACAATGCTGATAAAGATCTACCTGAGACTGGGTAATTTATAAAGAAAAAGAGGTTTGATGGACTCACAGTTCCATATGGCTGGTGAGGCCTCACAATCATGGCAGAAGGTGAAAGGCACATCTTACATGGCAGCAGAGAATAAGAGGAGAGAATAAAAGCCAAGCAAAAGAGGTTTCCCCTTATGAAACCATCAGATCTCATGAGACATACTCACTACCATGACAACAGTATGGGGGAACCACCCCAATGATTTAATTGTCTCCCACTGGCTCCCTCCCACAGCATATGGGAATTATGGGAGGTATAATTCAAGATGCGATTTGGGTGGGGACAGAGCCAAACCATATCATTGCATTTTTTCACTCAAAAAATGCAAAACATGTTTCAGTTATGATGTGCCATAGGAAGATACCATCTCTATGTGCTTACTCCAGTGTGGAAAAGGGGAATTATTTATTCCTGGCACAGAGGCAAGGGTGACAGGAATGTGGCTGAATCCATAGAATCTCATGATGCTTGAATACGGAAGATTAATGGCAAGATGTTCCTTTGTCTCATATTAACTTTCTCCAGAACCACTGACCTTGCGTGCATATCTGTTCTTTTACATTTTAAAATTCTATGCTTTATGACCTAGTTACCTGCTTTGATGTTGAAACCGCTTTCTCTGGACGACCTGAAGATTCCAGGGGAGCTGAAACTATGATAATGATGGGCTGTTTGTTCCTGGGGGGAGGGGAGGCTCTAAAACCTCAGCATAATGCTGTGAGTGGTGACTTGAAAATTCAATCACATATAAAGCAGGGGTGATCCTCACAAAGTCAGTGAAGTGAGAATAGGGGTTGGGTGGTAGATGGGATCACATGAGGTCTTAACCTGAACTCATGCATTTGGGTGGTTATGAATATATGGGTGCAGGGATTACTGTTTCTGTTCACTGTATCTGTTAAACTAGTACTCAAGTGACTAAAGATGAGACTTGATATTCATATGAATTTTCCTTTCCTTCCTTTTTTTCTTTTTCTGGAGGTTGCTCTTCTTTTCCTATATTGCTCACAAAGTGAGTGGGTCGCCTGCGGCCTCCCAGGTTGTCCTTTAGGCTCTAAACAGTCTTCTTCCCTCTCCTAGTAGCTGCCTTTCACTGCAGTTCCTTGGGATTTGGAAAACAGAGGTTTTATAATAAATGCTCCTTCTGTAAGAGTTATATCCAAAGGGAGGAACATAGACTATAAAGTACCAGCTTTTATCATGTGCTGTAGTCCTTGGGATTCATTACACTTTCACTTGGAAGATCATCTATAGCATTGAACAGATTGAGACCTTGTACTGCTCTTTGTGTATATTGTTTACTAATTACGCTACTGTGAAATGGTCTTCCTGCGTTTCCTTCAGCCAACTGTGCCTGCCTATTTAAGGCTTTTGCTCTCCATTGTGGTTTAATTATCCAGCTTTTTCCTGCTTGACAGCTTAAAAGCATTAAGAGCTTAATCTTCAACAACTCAACCAACCCATTTATATATTGGCAAATAGGAACTTAATAACTTAAGAGGTTTTTTTGTTTGTTTTAAGAAATCACTCTCTGGTAACAGGAGACAGAGATTTGTTTTGATTTCTAGACCCCAATATGGAGAGAATATAAGGCAGCTCTGTTGTGGAATAGGAAATCAGGAAGAGCGGGATTACTAGGACATAGTACTGATCTTACAAAGTTACAGTAGTAGTGACTGGAGGGATTACTGAAGACAATTCATGTTGGAAGGACTGGATGTATCCAGGAAAACAGAAACCATTCTAAGTGTTTTAGATAGAGAAGATTTAATGTAGGGAATTGGTTATACTGTCATTGGAAGGCTGGATGAGCAAAAATGTGATGGTAACATGAACTCTGAGATTAAAGGGAATCCTGTGAGTTTAGGGGAACTGACAGGAGGGCGTCAGTTTAAGAACTCATACGAGGTTACAATCTCTGGACCTACTACAACCTCAAGAGCTGTGATCATGGGGGACAGACCACTGCTCCCACCCTGCTTGCTGATGCCACCCTGGGACGGTAGAGGAGGGGACATAACCTCTTCAGAAACACTGCCAGGGGAAGGAAGGAGACAGTGAGAGTGGGAGGAAAGGACTGCTCCCCTCTCCCCACCATCCAGTGCCTATTGACAGAAAGGAACCAAGTGGCAAAGAAGCCCAGGAAATGTAGTTGCAGACTCCCAGCCTCTGCTTGTCAGAGCAGAGTACAGAAGGGTGGGCGTAGGACTACTGGGTGACTGATGTTACCCATCTACTTCCCAGATGAGCAGTTCTGGTTAAATTATCACGTTTCTCTGCATCCCTGAAAGTTTGTTCCCTTTGTGTAGATGCTATAAGGTGAGTAGAGTTTAAGACAAAATAAAACTAAATTTTATCTGATTCCATCTATTCTTCAATACATAGTAATAATAATTGTAGTAATAACAGTAAAATAGTGAAGATTTTGTCATGTTTGGTAAATGAAGTTATATTGATTGTTCTGGGTATGTTCAAATGTCACCATGGATTTTGCCCAAGTGACTCAAATGCATATCACTTGGTGGAGTGAATTAACCTGAGGAATTGCTGGAACATCAAGTAGAGATAATTGTTAGAATAATTAAGCATCCCAAATTATTTTAATTTTCTGAACTTTTCCTATCATTTCCTCATTAAAGGGGTAAAAATATTGTAACTTGAGTTTCTGAGTCTCATGGGAAATTCTGATATTTTTAGCAAATGATTCACTAATGCTTTCTTTTTCTTGCATAATATGCTACCAATTTGCTGTCCAGCGTAGGACAAGTCAAAATGTTTTTGTTGTCTACAGAAAAGACAGACTTGGCAGTAAGGAAACAGCCTTAAGCTCTGAAAAATTATAATCATGTGTACTTTTTGCAGAGTTAAAGGGATCAAGTACACTCAAATAAAATGTGCATTTGAACTGAGATAAGAGGGCAACAGGGTCACCTGCTGAAAAAATCCACCTCTCTCTCTCTCTGTGTGTGCTTTTATTAACTATGCAAATTGAGAGCTAGCCATTTTGTATTCTGTTACCAATGTTAACATTCCCTCTCAAAAGAAACAACAAATCTGGAAGCATTCCCGTTGAGAACTGGAACCAGGCAAGGATGCCCACTCTCACCACTCTTATTCAACATGGTACTGGAAGTCCTAGCCAGAGCAATCAATCAGGCAAGAAAAAGAAATAAAAGATATATAAATAGGAAAAGAAGAAATCAAACTACCTCTCTTCATAGACAATGTGATTCTACACCTAGAAAACCCTGCAGACTTTACCAGAAGGCTCCTAGACCTCATAAACAACTTCAGTAAAGTTTCAGGATACAAAGTCAGTGTACAAAAATAAGAAACATATCTATACACCAATAACATTCAAGCTGAGAGCCAAATCAAGAATGCAATCCCATTTACAATAGCCATAAAAAGAAAAATACCTGGGAATTCAGCTAATCAAGGAGGTGAAGGATCTCTGCAAGTAGAACTACAAAACACTGCTGAAAGAAGTCAGAGACGACACAAACAGTGGAAGAACATTTCATGACCATGAATTGGAAATCAGTATTGTTCAAATGGCTATACTGCCCAAAGCAATCTATAGATTCAACACTGTTTCTATAACTACCAACGTCATTTTTCACAGAATTAGAAAAAAATATTCTTAAGTTGATATTGAACCAAAAAAGAACCTGAATAGCCAAAGCAATCCTAAACATAAAGAAGAAAGCCAGAGACATCATATTACCTGACTTTATTTTAAGGCTACATTAACCAAAACAGTATGGTACTGTTGCAAAAACAGACACAAAGATGAGTGTAGCAGAATAGAGAACCCAGAAATAAAGCCACACACCTATAGCCATGTGGTCTTCAACTAAATTTTTTTTAAAGCAATGGGTAAAGGGCTTCCTAGTCAATAAATAGTGCTGGGATAGCTGGCCAGCCATACACAAAAGAGTGAAAAATTAACTCAAGATAGATTAAAAATTTAAATGTAAGACCTCAAACTACAAGAATCCTAGAAGAAGCTGAGTACAGTGGCTCACACCTGTAATCCTAACACTTTGGGAATGGCTTGAGCCCAGGAGTTTGAAACCAGCCTGGGCAACATGGCAAAACCTCATCTCTACAAAACAAATTAAAAAAAAAAAAAAATAGCTGGGTTTGGTGGCGTGTGCCTATAGTCCCAGCTACCTGGGAGACTGAGGTGGGAGGATCAATTGAGCCCAGGAGATGGAGGCTATAGGGAGCCACTGGTCATACCATATCATACCACTGCACTCCTGCCTGGATGACAGTAAGACCCTGTTTAAAAATAAATAAATAAATAAATAAATAAAAGAATCCTAGAAGAAAACCTAGGAAACACTATTCTAGACATCATCCCTGGGAAAGAATTGATGACTAAGTCCTCAGAGGCAATTGCAATGAAAACAAAAATTGACAAGTGGGACCTAATTAAACCAAAAGGTTTCTGCACAGCAAAAGAAACTATCAAGAGAGTAAACAGATGACCTACAGAATGGGAGAGAATATTCATAAACTATGCATCCAACAAAGTAAGTAATCTATAAGTAAGAAATCAACAAAATCTATAAGTAAGAAATCATCAAGCCAAAAACAACAACCCCATTAAAAAGTGGGCAAAAGGCATGACCAGACACTTCTCAAAAGAAGGCATACAAGCAGCCAACAAACATGAGAAAATGCTCATCATCACTAGTCATTAGAGAAATGCAAATCAAAACCACAACTGAGATACATTTCACACCAGTGGCCATTATCAAAAAGTGAAAAAGCAACAGTTACTGGCAAGGCTGTGGGAGAAAAAGGAATGCTTAGACACTGTATATAATTCAGACACTATGAGAAGCAGTTTAGAGATTTCTCAAAGAACTTAAAACTGCCGTTCCACCTAGCAATCTCATGACTGGTTATATGCCCAAAAGAAATCATTCCGCAAAAAACACACATGTTGCCAGGCTCACACCTGTAATCCCAGCACTTTGGGAGGCCAAGGCGGGTGGATCATGAGGTCAGGAGTTCAAGACCACCTTGGCCAAGATGGTGAAAGCCCATCTCTACTAAAAATACTAAAATTAGTCAGGCATCGTGGGGGGGGTCCCTGTAATCCCAGCTATTTGGGAGGCTGAGGCAGAGAATTGCTTGAACCAGGAGGTGGAGGTTTCAGTGAGCCAAGATTGTACCACTGCACTCCAACCTGAGCAACAGAGCGAGACTCTGTCTTTAAAAAAAAAAAAAAAAGACACATGCGTTCGTATGTTCATCACAGCACTACTCACAATAGCAAACACACCGAATCAACCTAGGTGCCCGTCCACTGTAGACTGGAAAAAGAAAACGTGGTACATATCCACCGTGGAATACCATGCAGCCATAAAAAAGAATGAAATCATGTCCTTTGCAGCAACATGGATGCCACTGGAGGCCACTATCCTAGGCAAATAAATGCAGGAACAGAAAACCAAATGCCGCCTGTTCTCGTAAGTGAGCGCTAAACGTTGGGTATTCATGGACATAAAGATGACAACCATAGACACTTGGGACCACTAGAGTGAGGAGGCAGAGAGGCCAACCAGGGTTGAAACACTGTCGGGTACTATGCTCACTATCTGGATGACAGGATCATTCATGTCCCAAACCTCAGCATCACACATTTACCCATGTGACAAACCTGCACATGTACATTCTGAATCTAAAATAAAAGTTGAAGGTCAAGTGTGGTGGTTCACACCTGTGATCCCAGCACTGTGGGAGACCAAGGTGGGCAGATCAGTTGAGGCCAGGAATTTGAGACCATCCTGGGCAACATTGTGAAACCACATGTCTACTAAAAATACAAAAATCAGCCAGGCATGGTAACACGTCTGTGTTCCCAGCTACTCAGGAGGCTGAGGTACAAGAATTGTTCAAACTTGGGAGGCAGAGGTTGCAGTGAGCCGAGATCATGCCACTGGACTCCAGCCTGGGCGACAGAGCGAGACTGTTTCAAAATAAATAAATATAGACAAACTTTTAAAAAGTTGAAATTATAAAAAATAAAGCAACAGGTATTTTCCTGCTTCCTAAATGAAGCAAACAGACTGGAAATTGCCAAGAGGTTTTACCTTACCATAGAAGACTTTTCCAAGGAGTTCACAAAGTATGTCTGATATGCTCTTGTTTTTATATTTACCTTAGACACAGGCAGGAAGAGACCCCGAGACCACCCTTCACAAGGTGAATTGGACACATAGCTTTTGATCATGTGAAATATTTTGTTAACTCTTCTAAGTAATACTTTATCAACAATGAACTTATGAAGTCTTTTGTGAGAAAGACTAATGATTAGATGTTTTTCAGCATTTCAGCGATCTGAAATATGAGCTGATTCCTAAAATCACTAAATAACAGGAAATAGGACTTTATACGTTTGGACCTTGTTCTTACTGCTGCTTTACCATTTCTAATCTGTAACTTTGGGCTCGTTCATTTCCTCCTGTCTTAGTTGCTTCATCTGTAAAACGGGGATAACGATAATATCTACTTCATTGGTATTGTTTTGAGGATTAAATGAGCTGATATGAAAAACTAGAAGCTCCATAAATTAAAGTTAGGTTGGTTTTTTATTTTTGTTTGTTGGGCTTTTTCTTTTTCTTTTTTTAAAATAATGTCTTGAAAAGAGGAAGCAAGGAACTGGGAATATTGATTTTTTTGGTGTGTGTGATTTTCAGTATGCAGATCTCAATCGCCATGTTGATGCCTTGAATGCGTGGAGAAATGCCACCGTGCTGAAACCAGAGCACAGCCTGGCCTGGAACAACATGATAATACTCCTCGACAATACAGGTACCGAAGTCACAGGAGAGGGCTCCATAGTCAAGTACCACTGAAGACTTAGGAAACAGAGACTGTAGTGCCTTCTTCTTGAGTTTAAAAAAACTAATAGGAAGTTAAATATTTTCTATTACAAAAATGTCTTTTCTTCGAGAAAATTGAATTTCTGGGGCTGGGCGCAGTGGCTCATGCCTATAATCTCAGCACTTTGGGAGGCCGAGATGGGCAGATCAGCTGAGGTCAAGAAATCAAGACCATCCTGGCTAACACTGTGAAACCTCGTCTCTACTACAAAAAAATTAGCCGGGCATGGTGGTGCATGCCTGTAATCTCAGCTACTTGGAAGGCTGAGGCAGGAGAATCACTTGAACCCAGGAGGTGGAGGTTGCAGTGAGCTGAGACCATGCCGTCGCACTCCACCCTGGGCAACAGGAGTGAAACTCCATCTCAGAAAAAAAGAAAATTGAATTTCTTTGGACATACTAGAATGTGAATGTCTGGGAAGTGACACTCCACGTAGAATTGGTATTGAGTAGTGAGGGAGAGGAGTGATTGTATCTTGTCCGCCAGTGGCCATCCTCTGGGGCACTGGGAGCACCTAGAAGTGAGCAAGAATGACCTTAGGGCTGATGAAATGGATGGTGCTAGGTCCATACCCTAAGTTCATGGATTTCACTCAAAGGAGCCCTTTTAGTCTACACTCCGAGCCGTGGATTCTTACCTTTCTTTTTTTTTTTTTTTTTTTTTTTTTTTTTTTGAGATGGAGTCACTGTCGCCTAGCCTGGAGTGCAGTGGTGTGATCTCGGCTGACTGCAACCTTCACCTTCTGGGTTCAAGCAATTCTCCTGCCTCAGCCTCCTGAGTAGCTGAGATTACAGGCATACACCACCACACCTGGCTAATTTTTGTATTTTTAGTAGAGATGGGATTTCACCATGTTGGTCAGGCTGGGCTCGAACTCCTGACCTCATGATCTGCCAGCCTCAGCCTCCCAAAGTGGGATCCCTTTTATATGATGCTAATCGACTTGAAGATCTGGTTTCTTATTCCTGAGCAGACCAGATTCAATCAATTAGGAGTTACTCTGCCTACCTCACTTTAAAAATCCAAACGTTCTTTAAGAAATGATGGCGTTAGGCACAGAAAGGCAAATATCACATGCTCTCACTCATAGGGTATCTGGAAAAATGGACCTTGTGGAGCTAGAGACTAGAACAATAGTTACTAGGGGCTGGGAAGGGGGCGGGGATAAATATAGGTGGGTTAATGGGAACGAACACAGATAGAAGGCGTAAGTTCTAGTGTTCCATTGCACGGTAGGGTGACTGTAGTTAACACTTTATGATATATTTCAAAAGCACTAGAAGATTTGAAATGTTCCTAACATAAAGAAATCATCAATATTTGAGGTGATGGATGTCTTAAATACCCTGATTTGATCACTACACATTGTATGCATGTATCAAAATACCACGTTTCCCATCAATATGTACAGTTATGTGTCAATAAAAATATTTTAATGATAGTGTTAATTTGATCATCTATATGGTATAGAGCAGAAATGTGTGCTTCTAGGGAAAATACAGATGTGTACTTCAGTGTGATAAATTCTCAGTTATGAAAGTGTTGCTGTAATCCTCTTATTTTGCAGATTTGTTTGGGTATAACTAGTATCTGGGGAAAAATTAAAACTAGGTTTTAGATGGTTTTATAGAAGTTAATCAAAAGCTGTTTGTGTTGTGTCAGAAATGTGCTGAATTCAGTGGCTTTGCCACTGACAGGGTTGCACATGCGTGTGTGTGTGTTTGTATTACATGATCTACACAGATTTTCTTAAGTAGTTTATTCATAATTGTCATGTGCTATGCACATAAGCCCTGTTAGTTATAGAGGTTAAAATGTAAGTACAGCATTAACATGTCTTTTATTTTTCCATTTTTTCCTCCCAGGTAATTTAGCCCAAGCTGAAGCAGTTGGAAGAGAGGCACTGGGATTAATACCTAATGATCACTCTCTCATGTTCTCATTGGCAAACGTGCTGGGGAAATCCCAGAAATACAAGGTGCGTGAACCTCAGGCTGTGATTTCTTGCAGTTAATGCCAGCATCTGACAGAAGCCGTAAGTGTTACTTCTGCCCAGTTAAATTCAGAATCAGGCCAAAACAGTGGCAGCGGTGCACCAGTGTGGCTTGGCCAGTTTGTTCCCTAGAAAAGTTGCTTCAAAGACAGCGACGTGGGGCCAAACCCAGTGTCCTTTCTCATCAGAATTAACCACTGTTGTTCACACGTGGAGAGAGGGAGAGAGGCCCAAGGAAAGGGGCAGAGCAGGCAGGGAGCTGTGGAATGGCTGAAGTCAGTGGCCTGGCAGGCTGGTGCAGGATTTGAGACAGCCACGGTGCATGCCCAGAGATACCCCTGCCCTGGCACAAGGGGGTTAGCCTCTTATCACTTGCACATGGGCTGGGGCTCTGGGTTTTATCTGCAGGTTCTGTCTTCTGCACAAAAGAGTAACCAGCCCATGGAGAATGCATGACTGGTTCTTGCTGCTTCCGGAGTTTTCTTTATCTGAGTTATATAGGCCATCATCAAGGCCCAGAGTTTTCTGACCAACAAAAACCACAAGATACTAAATCTTTGCTCCAGTTGGCAGCCAGGGTGGAGCAGGAATAGGCTGTGTGTAACTCCCTGTGTGTTGAAGGTAACTGGTTGTAAACTTTGTCTATTAGACACCAAGGGAGCTTGATAAAGCAGAGATGCCCAGATTCTCCCTGCGAGGGATTGTCTTCGTGGGTTAGGTCAGATCAGGAAATAGGATTTTTAACTAGCATCCTGGGTGCTGAACACAGATACCACAGAAGTAGTGCCTTAGTCCTTTCTTAAGAGAAATGCTTTATTTCAGAATCAGGGGCTATATCTTATTTCGATCACTCAGCTGGTGTGTAAGTCCTAAAGGCAGCAACTAGCTAATAGCTGTTAAGTAGTTAAGTAATTGTAAAATGATGGAATGCATCTCTCATTTGGCCCTCAATTTGTTATTCACTTCTCTTTTTCTGTTTATACATGTCATCAGTATAATTTTCGATAACAATAGTAAGATAATTTCATGCATTTCTCTAGTTTTACAATGTCGGGGAGTTGAATAGCTTCACTATATACATTTTTTAAATTTCTAGATTTTGCTCCAGAAATAGCTTTTTGAAGAGGGTTTAGTTTTATTTTTTATGAATCTACTTATGTAGCAGGGGAAGGAGGTGAGGTTTATAGGTTTCCCTTGTAATGACCTTTCCAGCCATCTGTCAGCCTGGGACAGGTCCCAAGTCTCAGTTCTCCTCCAGTGACCCAGCTACAGCCAGTCTTCTTGAAGCGTGGCTTATATAATCATTGTATTGATTTTTCTATCATCCCACAGTCTGTAAACTGCTGGAATTTCTGTTAAGGAGATAGAACCCAGAGTTCATTTGGCTTCCCCTGCACGTTGTTCTTTCTTTTCCCCCTCAAATAAAGTAGAAAATACTCTATAAAGCAAAATGGAGAAATCAGCTTCCTCTTTCTCTACATATTTTGCATTTTAATTATCAAGGCCAAGGCACTAGGCCTAAGATAAGGAAACAGGTGATGAAATCTGAAACACAGAACTCACGATGAGCTCTTCAGCAGCTACCAAGTGTGGGGACATGATGTGACTTCCTGAGCCATGGCATCAGCCACCAAGGAAGCGTTCAGTGTATTTTTTTAATTAAGGGTTTGAATTTTAAACAACTATTTAGGTTTTCCTCTCGTAATGCAAAAATGATACTGGTTGCTAATGGTCAGCTGCATCCCTGGCAGTGCTTCTTTCAGGATGTAGTGAAAGGGCCTGTTTCCTGGCAAAGCACTGGGTGGGATGTTCCAGAGAAGAGGGATGTGGCAGTGAGTTGCAGGGCCTCCAGCCCAGCTATCTTGATGGCAGGGCAGGTGTCTGCTGCCCGACAACTCACTTTTTACCCATGCGCTTGCTGTTTTATATATTATGCACTTGGTAAATCTCCTTAGAAAGCCTGGAGGCTTCTTGAGGTTGGATCTGAGCCTTCAGTCCTGGTTTGGTATCTCCATTGCTGTCGGGCAGTTACGAAGCACGCAGTTAAGTAGTTGTAAAATGATCAAATGCATCACTCATTTGGCCCTGAAACGTTCAGGCTTCCAGAACCTGTTTTGAGATCTTGATGTGCAGAGTGGGTGTTCTCATTATATCTGTGGTTCTAGGTACCTTTTTTTTTTTTTTTTTGAGAAGGAGTCTCACTCTGCCTGTTGCTCAGGTTGGAGTGCAGTAGCAGGATCTTGGCTCACTGCAAGCTCCGCCTCCCGGGTTCAAGCAATTCTTCTGCCTTAGCCTCCTGAATAGCTGAGACTACAGGTGCATGCCACCACGCCCAGCTAATTTTTTGTATTTTTTAAGTAGAGATGGGGTTTCACCATGTTAGCCAGGATGTTCTCCATCTCCTGACCTCATGATCCACCTGCCTCGCCCTCCGAAAGTGCCAGGATTACAGGCATGAGCCACTGCGCCCAGCCCAAACACCTTTTAACACCATCTGAGCAGTCATTTTAAAAACCTAACCACAGTCACTTAGCCTCTCTGGGCCTCAGTTTGTTCATTTGTAAAATGGAGATAGTGATCTGCCCAACCTCTTGACAGGGTGATACAAAAACATGCACAAGAACATAATTTGCAACTCTCGAGTGGTTCATGTGCATATACATATATATACACATACATATATATTTTTTAGCTTAGTGATCATTCAGTGACTCTCTAGGTATCATTAAAATGTGTTACAATTTATGTTACTTCTTGCCATTTAATTTCCAATTTCAGGCTAATGTGGTAAAGCAAAAATATAAAAGGAATGTTTTTCAGTGCTTACAGCATTGCTTCCTGTGCTGATTTCTTTTTCTGAAGTGGTAATTCCAGTGGGCCTGTAGCTTAAGAGCAGTTTATGTTGATAGAGTCAGTTTCCCAAACTTCAGACATTTACGTCACACCTTTATGATTTTTTTATTTTTTGCCACATCTAGATGTTACCTGACTTATTTACTTGATATTTGTATTTAAATAGATTTTTAACATGAATATATTTAAAGGAGAAACATTGCATCATTACTATAAATACAGGGTAACTGAAAGTGAAATAATCATACTAAGTCCCAGCCAGATACTATTGCTGGCCAAGGCTCTAAGCCAGAGGATCACCCTCTCTCAGCTTCAAGGAGAGATTGGCAGGTGTGTTAGAGAGTGGGACCCACACACCACCACCCAGTGCAGACTTCAGCCCCGATGCAATCAGAAGGAAGAAAGGAGAATAGAGAATAACTCTCTTCCTGCGTGATTCATGGTTTCAACTTCACATCAGGTCACCCGTGTTACCCTTCCTATTCTAGCAGAGGCTCAGCGACCCCTGTGCCCCAGAGCACTCTTGGGTGGCTGCTATGGCTGAAATGACCTCCACCCACCTGAGCTTCCTCACCTGGACGTAGAGACTGGCGCTTGTTTCTACCTAGAGACACAATTTGCAAGGCTTTTCTCAGTCCCACACCTTTGTTGAATACCTTTTGTCTAATACACTTGCAAAAATAATACGTTATTTTTCCCCTTTACGCTGAGAAAAAAAATATCCCTGACTCTAAGGTGAGTTTATTGGTTCATTGGCATAAATCAGCTCATTGCCTGGGTCTTTACACACCTAAAGACCTCCACAGATCAATTTATAAATAGTTCACTGCTTTCCTGGATGGGGCCATTGGAAAGCCTGATTTAATAGATGAACATTTCATGGGCTTTGAATACTCACAGATGCTGCGTTCTAAAGAGGCCCCTCCAATCCCTGCTCCAAGGCCCAGGTACAGGCCCAGGGGCTGCCCCCGTGACCTGGAGAGAGCCAGGCCACCCTTCACCTCCCCTCAAACCAGCGCTTCCTCCTGACACACCTTCTTTTGTCCACGTGGTGTTGTGTTTCTGTTGCCCTGACTTGGAAATCTTGACTTACGTTTCCTCCCTTGTCCCCTGGCCCAGTGCTCTCTGTCTGTTCTTCCTTATCCTGGTTCCTTCACACTGGCCTCCTGCAGAGCTTGGGCCCCACCCTGCTGAGAGCAGTGGCCCTCTAACAGAGTCAACTCTGAGCCCTTCCCTGTCTTCTGCACCACTGTGTCCCCCAAACTGTTGTCTCCTTGATGTCCTGAATGATGTTTGCCCTCACAGGCCATCTGAGAAGTTAGCTGAATGAATACATGAATTTAGCAACCCTAGAAAACTCCTAACTCTATGCCTGACCATTTTTCTCTAATTAACACTACTTCATTTACAGGTAGGGAAGCATTTTTAAGGAAATGTGGTTCCCTAACCTTTCTGTGTCTCAAGTTTTAGGTTTTAAATGGAAATGTTTGAAAATCATCAGAGACAGCCTATGACTCAGAAATCACTGTAAAACTACACAATGCATTTGATGTTTTTTCTGCAGCCTACCTGATACAGCTGGAGTCTTGACCCTCTTGGAAGGAGTTTCAGCCCCTGAAACTTGGAATATAGACACTGACTTTTAACTGACATCCCATATGTTGTCCTGATGTCTTAAGTCCCTCTTGGATGACATTTCTGAAATACAAGTGTTTCTCTGCCTGCTCTGTCTAAAAGGTTGTGGTTTTGGAGATGGTCACCCACATTCCCAGCCTATTTCTTAGGAGTACGATGGGCCATAACAGGGCAAAGGAACCAGTGGTCTTGCACATTATAAAATGCACAGTCCCAGATGTGGGAAGCCCACCTGGAGAAATTTATGTGTGGCCCAGATAGAAGGCACAAAAACTATCCCCACACCAACAGATTTGGTTGGTTAAGCTCAGTATGTGATACTGATTTTTTTTTTTTTTTTTTTTTTTTTGAGTCTTGCTCTGTCGCCCAGGCGGGAGTGCAGTGATGCGATCTTGGCTCACTGCAGCCTCTGCCTCCCCGTTCAAGTGATTCTTCTGCCTCGGCCTCCTGAGTAGCTGGGATTAAAGGCCTGCACCACCGCACCTGGCTATTTTTTGTATTTTTAGTAGAGATGGGGTTTTTCACTAGATTGGCCAGACTGGTCTCAAACTCCTGACTTCAAGTGATCTGCCCACCTTGACCGTCCAAAAGATTAGGATTACAGCCATAAGCCACCACGCCCAGCGTGTGATATTGATTAAAATATGATGCCCTTTAGGAATGTGTAGGTAGGTGGAGTGAACAGTGCCCCGCCACCCCCACTCCGGGCACATGTCAATAAAAACAGGTAGGCATCTTTATTTCTCAGCATTACGGTAGAAAGGGACCAGCCAGCCAACAGTTTTTAGCAGTGAACAGGGTAGAAAGACACTCTGCTCTGCTTCTTGGTGGCCAGGTTGGAAGTGAGTATGACTTGGAAGAAATGCAAGGCCGCTCAAGAATCAATTCACACCCAACAGGGGCATTTGGTCATGGTCATGTCCAGTACCGCAACAATGTCGATGACAGGTGGCCATTCCTTCCTCATTTTCTGCTCATTCTTTCCAGATGAATGGGGCTGCTTCTGGGCTGCCCAGCATGTTGTAGGTTCTTGCGGGAGAGGAAATGGGCCTCGACTCCTACCCTGAGAGCTCTGGAAGTGAGTTTCCTGGTGCCAGCTGGAAGAGGCATTGGCGTGGGTGTGCTCCAGGGCTCAGCCCTCTCCTGTTCACTGGGCTTCCTGTCATCCTCACACACCCTGCCCTGGGTGACTTGCATAACGTTGCAGAAGTCCAACCACTGCAGGGAGGCAGGTGGTGACACTCACAAGCATGTTCATCCCCTCTCTGCGGCCACCACTCCCTCCTGCTGCCCCTTGTCAGCCTCTCTTTGGCAGAGTATGGCCCTGCTGGGCCTTCTGAATGTTTCTGGAGGAATGCAGTGGTACAAAAAGAGGTTAAAGGTTTGAAAACCATAGGTGATAAAACTGGGAACCGCTTTTGCTTCATGTACAATAAATAGCTTCCTTTTTATGTTTTTCATTTTTTAGGAATCTGAAGCTTTATTCCTTAAGGCAATTAAAGCAAATCCAAATGCTGCAAGTTACCATGGTAATTTGGGTAAGAAAAATGTTCACTTGAATCGTTGAAATTCTATGTTACTTTAATGAAGTGGGTGCATGTCTATAAAATTAAAGTTGGGACAGTTGTTTTTTTCAAAGCTAGTATGGCTTTAAAATTTGGTTCTGCTATTACATTAAAAAGATAGCAAAGTGACAGCCACACTTTCAAATCTTAATCACATGACCAGAACAGCCACAAAGTTGCCCACTCTGTTTATCACCTTCTCATGAGTAAACTCAGATTGTCCTTCTTTGTGTTAAACTGAGAAAGATGAGATTGGCTTAAGAGAATGAGGCTATGGTTAGGAAGAGTTCTCCTACTAAGTTAATCATAGGTGCTTTGGAAGCTTGCCATTGAACTTACCTCTTTTTCCTTCCTTTTTACAGAGTAGACCTTCCCCTTCTAGCCTGGCCTTTCGTATAGCCCCTTATGTCTTGGCTAACATGCATTTATAATCATTTATTCCCTAGAATTCGTTTCTTGCATTTTTGCGTCTCCATGGTTAAGATGTTTAGAACATAGCATGTTGATGTTAAAATGCTCAGTCACAGAAATGTTTTGCACCAAAGCTGTTCTCTGCCAACTCTGAAGCTTCTCTTCACAAGTCAGAAAGCGTCCACAAGTGATCTTCTGCCCATATAGAAAGTTAGTCTTACTAACAAAATCAGTGTAATGATCAGAGGCTAATCATCCAAATGATTATTGTAATTATCATTTTAGGGTCAGCTCTTGATATTAGACTTAATTTCCAAATGGCCCCAAAAAGCTATCACTTCACCAAATGATGTAGGGAAATATCTCTTTAAAGTAAACATCTGAACTTCTGCATGGTCAGCTCTAGGCAGTACCTAGCATCCATCACCCCTCCTCCCACACCCAGCCTGGCTTCCTGGAACTTTCATGGCAGCACTGAGACATTGAATGTACTCTTCTTTTTACTTCTTTATGTAATAATGTGACTGTAGGCAGATGTACCTTATCTAGTGCTCTGAAGAGCCCTAGGAGTAACTGGCAGTAGTTAAATGGATAATCACCAGGGAGTGTGATTACAATAAATAAGGTTTTCAGTACAAACAATATTGTTTTATACAATTGACTTTAGAAAACTGTTTACAGAGGATCTGTAATATTTCTTTGTCCAAGAGGGCAGGAATATGGCACATTACTCAGAAGCATTCCCACTGAAATCCATCTCCTGCTATTTCAGCTGTGCTTTATCATCGCTGGGGACATCTAGACTTGGCCAAGAAACACTATGAAATCTCCTTGCAGCTTGACCCCACGGCATCAGGAACCAAGGAGAATTATGGTCTGCTAAGAAGAAAGCTAGAACAAATGCAAAAGAAAGATGTCTGATCCTTTTTCCTTCATGTTTTGAGTTTGAGTGTGTGTGTGCATGAGGCATATCATTAATAGTATGTGGTTACATTTAACCATTTAAAAGTCTTAGACATGTTATTTATTTTATTGATTTTTCTATGAAAACAAAGACATGCAAAAAGATTACAGCACCAGCAATATACTCTTGAATGCTTGATGTGACTTTTGCATTGAAATTGTATTTTTTCAGACAACTCAAATGTAATTCTAAAATTCCAAAAAGTCGTCTTTTTTTTAATTAAACAGAAAAAGAGAAAAAACTATCTTGAGCAACTTTGAGTAGAATTGAACATACATTTAGGATCTGAGCCTTGTCATGTATGGACCAGCAAGCACTACTAAACTTCAGTGATGGCCGAGAAAGGACAGGCTGACTCCTGCAATTTGTATAAATAATGAACTTGTCTGTATATTAGCATTTTTATTTAATGACAAAACAAATTAAGATTCTTGTTTTTTATCTCTTTTTTTAAACAATATACTGTGAACCTCGTTTGTAAGGAAATATTTATTTGTATTTTTATGTTTTGAATAGGGCAAATAATTGAATGAGGAATGGAAATTTTAACGTTAGTGTATCTATTTGCTTATCCCCATAGGAAGAAATTGACTCTTGCAGTAGTTTTTGAATGCTCTGACTTGTGCAGTTTCAATATATAGGAGGTTATATATAATATTTTACATAGACAGTTACTATCAATAGAAAGTTGAAGCCACACTTTAGGCAAGAGCAGGCAGCCTCACATCTTTATTTTTGTTACATCCAGGGTTAAGAGGGCAACACATCTATGTAAGCTGCTTTTTAGTGTTTTTAACTGTAAAGCCATTTTCCATTCCGCTTAATGAAACTACAGACATTACTCTATCCGGAAAATGCAAAATTTTCTCTCAAATGGAGCCACATTCGGGGAATTTGTGGTATTTTTAGGAATTGAGTTGTTCCTGCTGTTTTATTTCATCCAAACAATGTTTTGTTCTTCTCTGTATGCTGTTGACCGAATGATTTCTGCAATCTCTATAATTTCTTACACAGTAAAATTATTACACTAACTAGCATGAAAATGCCATATTGCCTTCTTAATCAATGATTTTTAAGTAGTGAACTTTGTATCCTCCTTTACCTTAAAATGAAATCAAAGTGACCAGATCATCGTTTATGTGGCTTCTGTTTGACTTGGGGACCATTTCATAGAATTGCAGTACAGACGGTGGCTCACGCCTGTAATCCCAGCACTTTGGAGGCCGAGGCGGGTGGATCATGAGGTCAAGAGATCGAGACCATCCTGGTCAACATGGTGAAACCCCGTCTCTACTAAAAATACAAAAAATTAGCTGGGCATGGTGGCAAGTGCCTGTGATCCCAGCTACTCAGGAGGCTGAGGCAGGAGAATTGCTTGAACCCTGGAGGCGGAGGTTGCGGTGAGCCGAGATCGTGCCATTGCACTCCAGCCTGGGTAACAAGAGCGAAACTCTGTCTCAAAAAAAAAGAATTGCAATATAGCGTTAACCAAGTTCAGAGAACAGAGTGACCAGATCCACACTGAGAGGAATTTGATTCTCTGGACTCACTTTCTGGGGGCAGATCTGTGTAGAGTTGTAAGTTAGTAATTGTAACTTCTGGTGGTTGAAGTATATCAAGAAATAAAGTGCTGTGTTTCAAATATTTCCTTTTTTTTTTTTTTTTTTTTGAGATGGAGTCTTGCTCTGCTGGAGTACAGTGGCACCGTCTCAGCTCACTGCAAACTCCCAACTCTCGGGTTCAAGCAATCCTCCTGCCTCAGCCTCCCGAGTAGCTGGGATTACAGGCATGCACCAGCACGCCTGGCTAATTTTTGTATTTTTAGTAGAGACGGGGTTTCACCATGTTGGCCAGGCTGGTCTCAAACTCCTGACCTCAAGTTATCCACCCTCCCCGACCTCCCAAAGTGCTAGGATTACAGGTATGAGCCACCACATGCAGCCTTCAAATATTGCTTAAATGGTTCCAAAACAACAGTAATAATTTATAGCTCTCTTTAGTGGCAAAGACCAACTTTCTCTTATTTATGTTCTTATAGTGCTTCACTGGTCATATAATAGATGCACTGTATGCTTTGTTGACTTTTTTAAAGCAGATTTCTTTTTTTGAAACAGTGCTTGTCTATTGAGAGTAAAGAAAAAATTTCTTACAAAAGCCCCTTCAGGCTTCTTATTATTTTTTTTTTTTTTGGTACCGATTCTAAAACTAGCGTCAAATCAAGATGTGCAAATCTGGATCCCTGCCTACCGATAAATTCCCTTAGCTTTCACTGCTTCAGCTCCCAGCATTTCCATTGTAGCTGTTTTCTTTCCAGAGAGCACAGTGATTGATTTGATTGATACTTCAGGAAGTCTTTGATCTCTGCAGATTCTGGAAGCACGCCACGCTAGCTCTCTTTTCTTCCTTTTCCATCTTAAGGCAGCCACCCTCTTTGTTTCTTGGGCTTCCTTTCCAACCAGACTGAAGTGGAAGGCCGCCTGGCAGTTCTTCTCTTATTTCGTGTCTTTTACTATTTTAATGTTTTTATTGCTAATGACAGTTGGGAGGCAGGAGTCAAAACAAACATGGGGAAATCGCTAGTTTGGGAAATCTCATCATCCTTCTTTTCCTTGATAGCAAACATCATCAAATCTGGAAAGAGCGTTGGAGTTGGGTGTTGGTTTGTTGGGTGGTTTAACATATGTACCACATGTGAAAATGCAATGCTTCTTGCCTGTTCTTGTTTGGATTTTTTAAAATTTAAATGCAGGTTTACATTTGTTTCTCTCCAAGTTCATCCTGTCAGACATAGCCTGCAGGCCTTCACTAGCCCCGGTGAGGTTCTCGTTCTATCATGTGGCTTACAGATGTTCTTTTCTTTTCTTTACTTTTTTGAGCCAGGGTCTCACTCTGTCCCCCAGGCTGAAGTACGTTGGTGCGATCTTGGCTCACTGCAGCCTCTGCCTGTCTCCCAGGTTCAAGTGATTCTCCCACCTCAGCCTTCTAAGTAGCTGGGACTACAGGCACACACCACCATGCCTGGGTAATTTTTATATTTTTTGTAGAGGCGGGGTTTTGCCACGTTGCCCAGGCTGGTCTCAAACTCCTGGGCGCAAGTGACCTGCTTGCCCTGGCTTCCCAAAGTGCTGGGATTACAGGTGTGAGTCACCGCACCTGGCCATTCTTTACATTTTATTTCATATTATTGACAAAATACCAGAACAGGGAGAGCCCTGTACCAAAGTACTGGACATCTATTTCCATACTCACACCCAACCAGCCTGGACTTTGGGGTGAGAAAACCCAGACTTGTGGACCTTGGGCTCTCCCACTGCAGTATCATAGGTAAGACACTGAGCATTGCTCAAACCCAATTCTCATCTGTACAGTGGGGATAAGACGATTCCTCATAGCCATAACAGAGAGCCTTGAGGATCCTCCATATGTGATAGGTTGGATTTTTGAAAGAGGGTCTCTGTTGGGAGTAGACAGATCTGGCCTTAGATACCCTTATTCCCCATTCACCCAACACATACTAAGTGTCTGCTATGTACCAGATACTATCTTAGGCTGTCTAATTACTAAGGTGGGTGGAAGAAGTCACGGTCTCTTATCCTTAGCAGTGGACAGTCCAGTGAGAAAAAGGAATGATCAAAGAGTCGTATGAGGAGAGAGGCCTGTTCTAACTTGGAGAGTGAGGAAAGGGCTCCCTGGGAAGGTGGCTTCCAGATGGAGATTGATAGGCAGGGGGAGGAAGGTCACTCCAGGCTGATGATCTCCAGGTGGGGGGCATTTGACAATGTCTGGGGGTATTTTTGATTGTTACAACTGATTGGAAAGTGCTGGTGGGGAGAGATGCTGCTGCTGTACATGCGATATGTGCAGGACAACCCCGCACAAAAATTACCTGGCCCAAAACATCAGTAGTCCCAAGGTTGAGAAAACCCCGACTACATGGAAGCAATAGCATCTGCAAAGGTCCTGCCATGAGAATGATGAACTCCGAGGAGGCTGGGGAGGGTGCTTGAGAAGGCTGGCCTTGGTGATGATCCAGCTCATACAGGGTTCACAGACCACGTGGTGCTTACCTTAAACTAAGGGAGAATCCAAAGCAGATCAGTGACATGATCCAAGTTAGTGAGGTTTTGACAAGGTCACTCGGCTGCTGGTGAGAAGGGAACTGGAGAGAGGCTAGGAGGATGTGGGCAGAGCACCCAAGAGACCATCCCAGGTGTCCGGCGTTGAGATGAAGGTGACCCTGTGCAGCCCAGTGGCAGTGGGGCTAGAGAAATGTGGACAGATGGGAGTAATGATAAGGAATCAACTAGTGATGGACAGGAGGTGGGTGGTGGGGGAATGAGAGGTGCTAAATGCAATTCAGCACAAGCCACTGAGGGAGAAGCTGGCCTTAAACTACAGAGAGAAGGTTCTTGAGAAGAAACAAGAGATAGAGCACCAAATCACCTGTTTGGCCCTACAAAAGAGGAAATAGGGCTCCCGTGTGTTATGAGGTCCAGATGGGAACAGATGTAGGCACCTCTGCACACATACAGTTGGCCAAGGCCCAGTTGCAGCATTCAGTGGTCATATTACAAGAAGTTCCACCTCTCCGACTCTCAACTTCACATTAGAAAAAAAAAAAAAAAAAAAAAAGGCAGGGTGCAGTGTCTAATACCTATGATCCCAGCACTTCAGGAGGCCAAAGCGGATGGATCACCTGAGGTTAGGAGTTCAAAACCAGCCTGACCAATACGGTGAAACTCTGTCTCTACTAAAAATACAAAAATTAGCCAGGCATGGTGGTGGGCACCTGTAGTTCCAGCTGCTCGAGAGGCTGAGACAGGAGAATTGCTCGAACCCGGGAGGTGGAGATTGCAGTGAGCTGAGATCACACCACTGCATTCCATCCTGAGCACCAGAGTGAGACTCCATCTCAAAAAGATAATTTTTTTTTAAAAAAAGCAGGTAATATCTAATTTGCAAGGTTGTTGTAAAGGTGCAAGTGAATATAAAATGTCTACAGCTGTCCTGTCCAATAAGGTAGCCACTCACCACACATGGCTGGTGAGCACTTGAAACGTGGCCAGTCCACATCAAGATGTGCTATAAACATAAAATACACACTGGATTTTGAAGACCTGGCATGAAAGATTAATGTGAAATCTCAATAATGTTTATATTGATTACATGTTGAAATATTTTAAATACATTGGGTTAAATAAAACATTAAAATTATTTTCCCCATTTTTTAAACTTTTTAATGTGGCTACCAAATTTAAAATTACATCTATGGCTTGCTTTGGAGCTCACTTGATATTTCCAATAGGTAGCGCTGATCTAGAGTATAGTAGGAAATGGGTATACGGTACCTGCCTCACAATCTAATCTGTGTGATTTCTTTTTCTTTCTTTTTTTTTTTTTTTGAGATGGAGTTTTGCTCTTGTTACCCAGGCTGGAGTGCAATGGCGCCATCTTGGCTCACTGCAACCTCTGCCTCCTGGGTTCAAGTGATTCTTCTGCCTCAGCCTCCCTATTAGCTGGGATTACAGGTGCTTGCCAACACGCCCAGCTAATTTTTTGTATCTTTAGTAGAGAAGGGATTTCACTATGTTGGGTGAGGCTGATCTCAAACTCCTGACCTCAGGTGATCCACCCACCTTAGCCTCCCGAAGTGCTGGGATTACAGGCATGAGCCACTGCGCCTGGCCTAATTTGTATTTTTTAAAAGAATATTTATTGCATCTAATTATTCCAATCTAATTAACATTTTCATTCTCATACTCCTACAAGATCTCATCTCATCATCAAAGATGTATTTCTCATCTTTGTCCCTAAGGCTTTCCTAAGTGGACCAGTCTGATGCCCTTTGGAAAACTGGATTCTGTAGGCCTATCGTGATTACATTATAAACTCTTCCTTATAGACTAATTATAGCTAATATATGTTGAAAGAATGGAAATTAGGAAATCATCCTTTTTTTTCTGGTCCCCAATGAGCCAGTTGATTCAAGCAAAGGTCAGCAACAAATAAAATCATTAGATGAAAGGTTGATGGGAAACTGCGCAGGAGGAACAAGGTTGTCACCAGCTGAACCCACCAACCAATTTCTTTTTTTTTTTTTTTTTGAGATGGAGTCTCACCCTGTCACCCCG